GGAGCCAAGATTCTGATGTTTTTGTAGATACCAAACATGTCTATGTTTAACTGAAAGAACTTGTCGGAGTTAAAGTGGAAAACTGAGGGTTTGGGTTTAACAGATGACTGAACCAGTTGGTAGGCCGAACTTTGGTCACTCGGCCCGCGGGCCACCAGTTGATAAGCCCTGCCATACATTTTTGTTTGTGTGTAAACTACTAAAATGTGTTTTATTTATTATTTTTTCTAATTCAATGATTTTTTTGTTTTTGTTTAGAAAAGCAGCAGCTGATGGAAAACGAGCCGTTCTCATTAAGCCACAATGGGCAAAGGTACGCTCACCTGTTATGTTTTTACTGCAGCTCATTAAGACAGGGTTCATGCCGGGTCTTAAAAAAGTCTAAAATTTAAAAAAAAATCTACATTTTAGGCCTAAAAAAGTCTTAAACACCCAGATTTTCACCCAAGGTCTTAAATTTAATTCTGTCAAGTCTTTTTGATCATTCCTGAGAACCGTTGGCTGCATAAATAAAGTTAAGAGTCGTAATCAGAGGTTGACACGATCTGTCTTCATGATGCTAAGTTTGCTACTGGTCATGATTAAACTACAAATCCCATAAGGTAGCTTTAGCAAAAACATCTCAAACCAGCTGACAGGCTTCCTACAGATCCTTAAAAAGTCATTGACTTCATCAATCCAAAAATAAGGCCTTAATTAGCCTTAAAATGTTTTAAATCAATCTGTTAGAAGTCTTAAAAATGTTAAGACATTGTAAATAGGATGATTGTAATTTGTCTCAAATATTAAAATAATTGGTAACATTTTATTTAAACGTTCACATGCAGACATTCCTCTTTGACATCACTTCCTGTTGCTTCACATGCAAATATCTCAACAACCGTCTGTCTGAGCATCGTGACATTTGTTTCATAATATGTCAGTAATGTTGTATTTCCAAAAATGTGTTCACATTTCTTACAAAAAAGTTCATGTCACAGGCACTTTAAGGTTTCATCTACAGCAAATTAGGGTTAAGACCCCACTGTGGGTCCTAAAACTCCAAATTTGTGTCGTTAATTTAAAATAAAGTTTAACACTGACTGCTAAGAATGTTATTGCTATATTTGACAAAAAAGCCGTTTGATATGGTTAAAAACAATTGGTTTATTAGGAATATTTGAATACTTCAACCAAAAATACTTTGATTCCTGAGTTTCTTCCAGTTTTTATTTTTTTGTCCTTTGTGTTTATTGTGAAATTGGTCTTAAATTCAATTTAATTTGGCATTAAAAAGTCATAAATTTAACCCTGATTTAGCCTTGACCAAAATCATTTCTAAGATGATCTCAGTTTAAACTTCGGCATCAAAAGCAGCAGGTGATACGGGTTCCTTCAGAGTCTTTAATTAGTTGTTTTGTTTTGTTTGTGGTGATAAACCTCAGGTGTAATCCAGAAACTAAAGCTTGTTCTGTTCTCAGGGTCACTATCGATACTGTGAAGCTCTGTTCCTCCTCAACCAGAAGCAGTTAGCTTTAGAAGCCAACAAGATGGCCAGAAGTCTGTGTGGGGAGAACCCAGAGGAACTCAGGGACCTGGATCAACAGCTGAAGAAAATGACGGACGAGCTCGGTGAGAGTGTTTAAAGTSAAAAATAAATATAAAGATCTTTTTTTACTGTCTGTTTTATCATGACCTGGTTACATCCCGAAGGCGGAAATGACTCATTTCCACCTTCAGTTTCATTTCCTGAAAATCAAAACTGAGTCTCGTGTTTTTGTTCTTCACTTTCAGCTGAGAAAACCAAACCAAAGCAAAGGTAGGTTCTGCTCACGTTTCCTCTGACGCGCAGTTCTGAGGGGATTATTAACTGTCGGATGTTAACGATTTATTTGTTTTTATGATCTTTGCTGAAGTTTTAAAGCTGGTTCCACGTCAGGACAACATCCGACAAAGTGTGCCGGCAGTGATCAAGCTAAAAATACGTCTGCAAAGGTGAGTGAAGACTGTTAAAGCTCAATTATGTCTTTTTAAAATTATTATTAGTGGCAGCAGTTTTTAAGAAAACAAGTGTCTTTTTAGAAAATTGACTTAGGTTTTGGGATTTATTGCATTTGCTGTAAACTTCTAACTAAAGTCTGCATTTTATTAGAATATTTTAGATTTTAAAAAAGTCATTAGAACKTTTAAAGTTAAGAAATTAGTTTGTAGCTCATTAAAATGGAAAAACAAGCAACCAGAACAGTCAGTTAATTTATTTACAAAGCAGGTTGTAATCAAAGTATGGTACAATAATTA